TTTTTTTTTTTTCCCCTTTATTTATTTTTTTTTTCTTTTTCCTCTCCTGAGGCTTAGCGTCTGAAGCAAAAGAAACAAGAAATCTCCACGAATGTGGGTTGTGAGTCACTGATGCTGCAGAAGCCATTATAGTCCGTTCTGGTTGAAGAGCACTTTGGAAATTTAATGTTAATTATTGACATAGCATTATTTATAAATAGAGTTTTTAATGAAAACGCTAAGAGCCCTTAACTATCAAGCGTGGCTATAATACGAAGGAGCTTTTAGTGCCAGGCGACTGCCGGAGCTCTGCTTACAGCTGCTCGTAAGGAAAAAACCAACATACGTGTTCATCGGTGAGAAACACTGAGAGAAAGTGTTTATTAAAAACGCTCTTCTCTCTTGCTGGCTTAAAATCAGTAATCTTCCCACTCTGCATTAGTCTCAAACTGTGGGTCGTGAGCGGGCGCAAAGTTCCGTAGTGCGCGGGAGCGAGTGGAGGTGCGGTGCGGGTGGGTGTGCGGGGTCCCCTCGCCGGGGAAGGGCAGCGGTGTCGGTGAAGTGAGGGGTGTTTTCAGTCCAGTCGAGGAGAATTGTACAGTCTGTGGAAACGCTGAGCCGTTTCGCTGTCGAGTTTCAGAAGCCGGGCGCCCTCAGCGGACTGGGAGCCTGGTTGTGTAGCCATGGTGGCGCGCACGAGTGGGACAAGGGCAGCTCTGCCACTGGTTTTACTGCGCTTGTTGTGTGGGGAGACACACAACTTGGGTTGCCGTGCTTAAAGCTTTAGTGTTAGAAAACAAAATTATTCAATGCAAGTCATATTCATTGCTATGTTGTATGTTCCATTCACTCTGAACTCTATTAATAATGTTTACTAGTACACTAAATGACAAACAAATGCAATGAAATTCATGCCCAGGAGGGCTGACCGGGAACCACTGGTCTTGCCAAAACCAGCAGGACTGGAAAGCTCTCAGGACCCTTAAAGAGCAGGCCAGAAGGCACTGTGCGTAGGCATTATTACTAAAATATTTGTATGCTTTATAGAGATCTTTTAAATATTTAAAAACAGCTGTAGCGGAGTGCTTGCAAAAGTCAGGGACAGTTTGTATGCTTGCAGTATTATGTTCCTGCTTCCCATTAACTAGCAGCTGTTGTTGTTTTTGGGGGAGGAAAAAGATAAAAAAAGAACTCCAGACCCTCTATATGTGTGTACTTTACTTGAGGAAAAATCGGAGATCCTGGCAACTGAGTTCCTATACATTTCTGCAGGCTTTGAAGTTGCTCATTGGGAACCACTAATATGTAAGTTTCTGATCTTGCAGCATTTGCTCATCTAGTCTCTTTGTCCCTGTAAAAGTTGGTGAGAATTTTGCAGATGAGTTTGGTGGTGTCAGGGTTGTGCTGCTCCCCTGTGTGCAGGACAAGTCGTGGAGACTTGGCACTTTTGGTCACCAGTGCCACCCTCTGTTCGCTGTTGTTCAAACTGGACAGGTACTCATACTGCAGTGCTCTTTTCAACCCTTTTTTTTTTGTAGTTCAGAAAGGAGACATGCAGAAATGTAAGTTGTCAAGGTAAGAAACTGGAAAAAAAACCACAAAAAAAAGAAGGCAGCTCCAGAAGGAAAAGGAGAACTTTCAGTATGTTTTCCATGCCCAGTGAGCAGGTGTTTGTGGATCACCAGCCATGCTTGTTTCAGGCTGTGCTGAAAATGTTTCCCTTGCTGATATGCCAATGGATTGTATGACTTCTCAGCTGGCCTGTAAAGAAAAATGATCTTCCTTTCATTGTTGTCCTCCTTGCTTGTTGTATCTGCTGTCTTTTGTTTTTAATCAGATGTTTTTGTCAAGACAGCGACTCGCTGAAGTTTTTTGTACGGTGGTTAGCATGAAGAGGAACATGTTATTTACATACAGAATTAGAAAATGTATTGTATGCAGCAGCAGCAAAGTTGGTGGTTTCAGAATGGAGTATCTTAAGGTAGATGTGTTAAAATGGGCCTTGATTCCCTCCATTTGTATAGATACTTCCCCAGCCACGCATAAAATCATTTGTCCTTGCTGTGTTAACCTGCTCTCTGGGATAGAGATAGAATTACAAGTTTCAGTAATTCTCCTTTATTTAACTTCCTGTTCCCTGTAACTGTTCTTGTAAAACTTGTATTCTTTTTTACAATGAAGGTAGGAATTCTGGTAAGTTCAATGGTCTCACTAGAAGAGACGTTGGTTAGTCTTGTCGGGTCCAGTAGTATTACATTCATCTTGTCCTGGGAGTAATCTGTAGATATCTCTTTTTACCCAATTCCTGTGTAAAGTTTACACAAGCGGCACTGAACTTTGGACAGAAGAGGCGCTAATGCTGGTGACGTGCAGCTTACATTGCTTTTTCATCATGTACAGCCCTATTTTTTGTTCAGAAATGTTGTTGGAACCAGGATTGAAAAATAGCACCTTTGTAAAAATCAGCCTAGATGGATGCAGAAATAGGAAGAGAAGATATCTCGAGCTGGCCTGAACTGTATTGTTGCATTCTGGTCCAAATAGTGTTCATTATGGTTAAATTAGTGCTGATACCAGAATTTCTTTGATTGCTCTATCTGGTCATTTTTATGGCAGCAGGAAGTGAAAATGCCTTTATGTTCAGTAGACTACATAATTATAACTTTCCTTCTTTGAGGTGTGTGTGGTTCTGGGGGTCTGCGGTTGCTTTCTTTTCAGTCTATGGTAAGTATTGCATGGGTGAAACTAACACAGCAGCTGCTGTTAACGCAGTTAACCTCCACCTTACTTCCAGGGATAAACGAGACATGGTGTTTCATTGGTGTTTCACATTCTGCTTTGAAATAGTACAGTGAAATATGTCTAGTTACCGAAATAGTGGTTCTTTCCTTCAGGCATATAGGAGCAATAGGGCTAAGATATCTGGGTGGCAGCTTTTGCTTTCTGCAGTGCCTGTGATGGGAGAGCAAGTGATGGACTTTATGGCTTATTTAGAGCTCTTGATGGTGGGCATTTTTTCCTTGTTTTGAAAGGGGGAGCTTTAAAGCGTTTGCAGTAACATCCGTGACATATTGGTGACTTTATAAGCCTTTGAAATATATGTCTGATTTTCTTGTACAAAGTATGGAGGTGATCTCTGCCAGTTTCTTGCTGAGAAGTGGTTGAGCTAGGAACAGCAAATTTTTGTTGCGCCTGTAAAAGAGGACCATGGACTGTTTTCCATTAAACCATATATTTAATAGTATGAAAAGTGTGCACTTATGTCAAGTATCTTATTTTAAAAGTGGTTGGGTTTTTTTCCTTCAGTCAGAAGCTTGGGAAAAAAAAAAAAGATAACTTTGATCATAGGCTTTTGGAAAGAGTCCTGGCCTGCATCTTTGTGAAATGACAGACTAAATAGAAGGTTGTAGCTAGATAATTTCTCTGGCCTTCATGGCTCACCTATTAGGAAATAGACTAATGGAAGAGGTACAGGTAAGGTTGGCCTCCTAACAGCTGTGCTGAGAGGCAGATTTTCCTCTGAAGTAGGGGTTGTGAAGCACCGCCTTTGAAATCTCGAGCTTTCCTCTTTAATTGCTCAAAATGTAGCTTAAAATGTACTCCTGATTATAACCTGGCTGAATGGGGAGAAGAGTGGATGGGACTGAGTCATCTTGCAGACCAAAATGAAGATGGTCTGTGCTGAAGAAATGGCTTGGCTCCAGCCCCAGCTAGATTTGCAAGGGCCTTCCTTGTGGGTGAGCTTGCAGGGAGACAAGAATACTGAAATACTGTAACTTTGCTGGTCAGTTGTCTGCTGCTTCAGGTAGGCAGCTATGCCTATTGAATCACCTCTCACCGTGGTCAAGGCTTAAAGCAGCATCGGGGTCACTGGATGTTCATGTCAAAGTCTCTGGTGAGGGCAAAAGGGAGAGTAGGAGCAGCTCTGAGCAGAGGGTGACTTTCCTTATTGTTATCAAGTTCTTTGGGGTTTTTATGAGCTACTGCTTCCTCTGTGGGGCTGACCCTCCACCCCGCGCTGCCCTGGGTGAGACAACAGGGATGTTCTCAGACTGCGCACTGGGGAGTGGTAAAAACCAGGAAGGAATCACAATTTTTCTCTCCTTCTGGTCTTCTGTGTCCACATACACGTTCCTTCCAGGCTGCAGAGCCAGCTGTTGCCTAGCAAGTACGGAGACTCCCACCGCAGTAGTCTGTATGTATCATATAGTGCGTATGTATGCACAGTACAGTATGTGCACCCCCAAACCGAAAGTTTGGTGGATTACATAGGGTCAGCACCAGTTCTTTTGGCAACATAGATGTTCTCAAGGAAATTCTTTTCAGAAATATTGAAGGAATGAGAATACTTTGGAGGGACTCCCTAAAATCTTATTTCTTGTGCCAGCATTCTCTGTCTGACTTAAGCTGTAAATTTTACTAATCATTCAGTTCTGGTTTACTACAACAGCAACCAAACTCTGTATGTTTTATTCCTATATCCTCTACTGAGCTTTTTTTAAAGTATAAAAATGCTTATATTTGGGTTTTAACAGAATTCATGCAACTATGGGATGAAAATAAAAAAGAACAGAGTTACCTGAAATGAAAGAATAGCACTGAAGTATTCCTGTAAAGTTTGGTGAAGTCTTCACCATTGGAATGGGTGCCCGAGTGCTTTTGTGTGTGCTACACTTTGAAAATTGAGTATCTCTTGGGCATTTTCATTGTTTGGATTTCTAGTGCCTTTCAGATGACCAAACCCAGAAGTTGAACAATGATCAGCAAAAGCCCGGAGAAATGAGGTATTATATAGCTCTAATGATGAAAAAAGAGCTGTATTGATATTTAATTGATATTCTAAGCAATGTTTTTTTCCTCAAATGGCATTCTGATTTTCTTCTTCGTTTCTGCTTACAAAGGTATGAATATCAGTTTAACCTAAGTGCACCAAAACAAAGCCCTAATGAAATAATAGACTGATAATTATCGGCTCTTACTTAATTTTCTATATGTTTTTCAGATCAGCTCTACAAAGCAAGATGTATTGGCAAATCATTCTGACCATGTTTGTGCTATTGGGTAAGTCACTAAAAAAATAAATCGGTTGGAAATCATGTAGAATGAAAAGTAATCACCATGTCTGTTTTACAGTGGTGTTTCAAGTCACGCTACTGGATTAGTATCTTATCACGACATGCAACTAGAATATGCAAAGAACCTGATGTTATTGTGCGGAATTGAAATGCTGACACTGTCAGGGTTCTGCTAATGTGTTTTATCCCAAAAAGCAGTGCAACTGACTTTTAAGATCAGGAAATATTGGTAGAAAGTATGTGGTGAGTCAAGATGCGTTCAAATAAATTCCCCAGTCAAAATTTGATAAGATAGAATTTCATGGGCAATTTGTTTTGTTACCCTAATAGGTCCAAAAACAGAAAGGAATATCCCAGTTCCATCAGAACTGCGAAGTTTCTGTTTAGTTCAGCACAGCCAGGGTGTCACTTTGAGTTTGAGCTCTGCTTTTCATGGTAGCTGACATTCCAATATTGGTGTATGCTGTTCAGGGACAGCTGGTATTTGCCTTTTTTTTTTTTTTTTATTAAGAACTTGATTAAGGCTTTTGGTGATGACGCTTAAGGAGAAATCAGATGCTGTAACCCAATTTCAAAATTTATGTCATCTTGTATCTTCACAAAAGATGAATAAATAAATCATTAGATTTCTATATATTTTCTATGTACGTATATATCTTTTTACATACATCTTTTATATATATGGATCTTTATCTTTCTATCTACGTACCATTATCCACTCTGTATCAAATATTGTGTTGTTGACATTCTTCTTTTAAATACCTTTCATAATCTAAACATATTGTGTCCCTTTTAATTAGGAAACCTGGATGCCTCAGGGAGTTTTCATGAGGCTTCAGAGCAGTTGGTCACTATTTGGTGGTCTGTAATGCCTGAAAATCAGCGTATCTATTGAGTGGCCATCTCACTCTGATTCTGAATAAGAAAATAGCTGTGGCTGGCATCTTTGTAGCCCTGTTAACTCAGACTGCTATTTGAGGGACAGAACTGTAAGTGATGGCCTCGTGCGTGTCTGTGTCATGGACCTACTGGTACACCTGTAGCAGGAAAACATTCTTAATGCATGCTGCACTTCATTAACAGGCATTTAAGAGCTATAGCAATCCTCTACTAAACGTTCTGTATTGTAATGCATTATCATTTTTTTAACACTTCTGCAGAAGTGGGAAGTAGCTGCACATATTTTGACTTTGCAAGATTTAATTAATCCTCTGAGATTGCCCAATGTGATATGCAAGGGGGGAGTCTGTTTTTTAGAAAAATAGATGACTGGCAGGAATCTCTTCCCACCCTGCAGTTGCCTCTGTGAATTGAGTAGCGTGCTAGTTATCTGTTCTGCTTCATAGGCAGTTATGTCACTTATTTGTCCTTTTTTAATCATGTATTATGGACTAATAGTCTGTTCGGTCAACTGAATCCTCCGTGTGCAGCCAGGAGGCCTAATGAAGCTGATATTTACAGAGGCACAAACTCTGTTAAATGAGAGAGGAGGAAAGAGCAGAACCCTTCAGGAGTCTGGCAATACAAAATGTGTGTAAAGAGAAAATGAAACACTTCAACACACTGCATAGTAACACAGTGCCTGCTTTTAAGGTAGCATGCATCTTCTTTTCTTGAAAGCTTTCATTTTGTGTTTTTTATTATTTAGTTGATGCTTATGCTTACTTGCTATTAATGAAACAGTGTTAGAGAAATTCTGTTTTTCTTATTTTGGCTATTGCAAGGCATAGAGGCTGAATTAATTTCTATCTAATGAACTGCTTAAAATATTTATGCCCTTACTGAGCAAAAAGCTAAATGCAAAGTGCACAAATGACCCACATGCCTTTCTGTAACTAGAGCTCTAATCTTTGAAATTCATGCAGTGTTTTACAGTAAGCTATTTCCAAAACCGACATGTTCATCATTCTCAAAATCATTGTTAGCGTAATTCAAGCTATGACTTACCAACAAGAGCTACAAATGTGGTCAGAGCGACTTTATTTTGAAGAATCTAAGTCTGATGGAAAAGATGATTCTTTTCCTACATCTCATTTCCCAGATAATGCCCTAGGGTTGCATAGTTGCATCCAGTCATGTATTCTTGTAATTACTATTCTTTGGTATTTAACAGTTACAGTGGGACTACATGTTACATTTACAATGGGATGATTTTTTATACAGTAATGGAGCCATGTTATAAGACCTGGATTGCAAGTGTCCCAGCACTGCAGGAGGAGATGAGACTCATACCTGTATAATGTATGGACTTAGATTTAGGCTTCACTAGATTTTGTATTACTATAAGCCAATTTACCCCAAAGAGATGCTTCCCCTGCAGCCTTGGACTTGACTTGTTTCAAGAGATTGAGAAAACAAAGAGTTAGGTGTAGTGGCTTTGGGGGAGAAAGTTGGCACCTGTCAGTTGTGACACCAGTTCAGAGGGGACATTGTTAGCAATTTTGTCTGCAACTCAGAGGAGAATAGCTCCTGGAAATAATCGGATTTTTAAGTAATGGATGTGTTTCTGTATAACATCAGCCGCTCCCTTTTCATTGTCAAGTAAAATGAACTTTTTCTTTTATTTCTGTTATCTTTGCCTTTATATTTGCAGACTTTCTTCAGATGGCAGTTGCCCATTGTATGGTCCATCAAATTCCTGCTAGGAACTTTACATTACACTGTACGCTGCTAAATGAGACATTCTCGAGTCCTTTCTCTGCTGAAGTTGTAGAGAGCTGGTCCGGTTTGAGGAGAGAGCATGGAGCATCTGAAACCAAGCCTCCCCTGCTAGTGAATGAAGAAAGTTTTCTGTGTTGCCTTTGGAGTGATAACAACATTGATTGTTCTTTGTACAGAGCAAGCATGCAAGCAAGGAAGTTTATTCCTTCAGAAATAAGTATCTCTGCTTCTCAGGAAATAGGTAGGTTTTCCATTCAAGGCCATAAGAAGTTACTTCTTCAAAAAATTGTTGGGATTTTCTGTTGTTTGGGAGGGGGGTGGGTGGGTTGTATTAATGGATATTCATTTTTATCCAGAGCAGACAATGTAGCATGGTAAGATCCTTCCTGAAGGAAGAAGCTGAAGGAAATTGTATAGCAGAATTTCAAAGGGGAAAAAAAAGTTGACTGTCTTTCTAGGGGAATTCTGAATAAAATATGTAGCACTGCATATGAGGATGTAAGCCCAGATCTTCAAAGGTGTTTAGATGCTATGAGAAATATTTTAAATATTTTTGTGTATATGGGCTTTAAACTCCTTCAGGGGGCGGGGGAGATGGAGAGCAAGTGCCATCTTTTCTGCCTGGATTGTGATGCCTTAGTAAATATCTGTACATGGATTAGATTGAATTATTTTTTCCTAGGCTGTTTTTCTCTTCCTTTAAACTAGTCTCTGAGCAGCATGCTGGTCTGTTGGCATGTTGCTATCAGTGGCAGGAATCTCCTTGACCTCAGTAGAGTAGAATTTCATTTTACAAGAACTCTCGCAATGGAACAAATAAATCTCTGTTAAAGCCTGCCACACTAAATTTGTTGCTGTTATGTATGCAGTACAGCTGCATATCTGTGTACAAAGTGTACGCAGTACAGCCACATAGAGGTTGTACCAGTTAACAGCAGCAAAACCTTCAGCCAGGAGCAGCGACTTAATTTCTTTCTTCCCCTTGTGGCTTTGTCCATAAAGCCAGCTAAAATATATTCCTTCTCCAATAATTAGAATGCAGCAGTATCACATAAGTTGTTAGCTTTTTTCGTGTTAAAGAGCATATACTGGTGCCCTATTCAGCAAGAATTATTCATAAACATTCGCACACTTGTGGTCCAGCCTCACCTTCATGAATTTCTGTTACTTGTCCTCTCTTTGTGAGTGAATTTTATCCTGGCTCTTCAGTTGTTTGTTGGTTTTTTGCTTTGTTTTGATAAAGTTTGAAAGTGTTTAATCCCTTTCTTTTGTTCAGATTCAAATTGGAACATTGAATGTTGGATTAAAGGCAAGCTGGATGTGTTAGTTTGTAGCCTGCGGTTTTTGAACTTGTACTTGAGAGCCAACTTGAAGGTTAATCTTTTATATGCTGTGTAAGTACAGACTCTGTTGAATTTGTCACTATTAGCTTCAGAAATCTGAAAGCATTTTTTAAAATATCAACATTAGCCTCTCAAGCTTGCAGCACAGTGGTAGCATTAGCTTTGCCAGCAGATGATATGTTATGTACCTTTGTCTTACCTAAAAGTAATCTTGGACTATATGGAAAGTTTGTTTCTGTCTTTGAATGAGGAATGGTTGGAATGGAGTCCCCTTCCTCCATCCTTTCCGTGTTTCTTAAAATGCTTTCATGAAATCAGTGTTGACTTACTGAAACATCTTTGCTGTTACAATTGCTTAATTTTAAAGCTGTGATCTTGGTTCTGCCTTTATGCTTTTGACCATAATGTTCTCTCTTGAAGTAATTGTCTTACTTAAGATTTAATACAATGCCAAATGTTACTCTCATCGCCTCTGAGAGACACCCACCTGTGCAGTTGTCACTGTGGTAAAATTTCTCTGGAATGGTAATAGATGGTAATCGTCCTGACCGTGGGGTAGGCAGATCTTGTATACATGCCCTGCCTGATCTGATCATTAAGAGATTATTTGATTCCACTTTAAAAAATGCACTGGATTACTGATAGGTTGGAAGGAATGGCATGAACACATAAACTTAAATTCCGTAGGAAACGTGCTAAACATAAATAGTTGAATGAGCTGAATTTACAGGTGATGACTTCTACTTAAAAAGCCAGATATCACTTGCCACAAATTATCCCTGTAGTCAGGGTAGAAAGCAAGTGTATTAACTAGTAATTAATATGGCTGTTTAGTTGACATAATACTTTAAACGTCAGTGATAAAAGGAAGACTAGGGAAAATGTGGGCCCTTTCCAGAAGGAAACGGGAGACCTGGTTACCCAGGTTATGGAGAAGGCTGAAGTACTCAACAACATTTTTGCCTCAGTCTTCACTGGCAAGTGCTCTAGCCACACCACCCAAGTCACAGAAGGCAAAGGCAGGGATTGCGAGAATGAGGTACCTCCTGCTGTACAAGAAGATCAGGTTCAAGAGTATCTGAGGAACCTGAAGGTGCACAAATCCATGGGACCTGATGAGATACCTCTGTGAGTCCTGAGGGAACTGGTGGATGAAGTTGCTAAGCCACTGTCCATTACATTTGAGAAGTTGTGACAGTCTAGTGAACTTCCCACTGACTGGAAAAGGGGAAACATAACGCCTATTTTTAAAAAGGGAAAGAAGACCCGGGGAGCTACAGGCTGGTCAGTCTCACCTCTGTGCATGGCAAGATCATGGAGCAGATACTCCTGGAAAAGATACTAAGGCACATGGAAAATAAGGAGGTAATTGGTGACAGCCAATATGGCTTCACTAAGGGCAAATCATGTCTGACAAATTTAGTGCCCTTCTACAGTGGGGTTACAGTGCTGGTGGTTAAGGGAAGAGCAACTGACATCATCGACTTGGATTTGATACTGTCACGCACAACATCCTTGTCTCTAAATTGGAGAGAGGTGGATTTGATGGATGGACCACTTGGTGGATAAGGAATTGACTAGATGGTCACACTGAAAGAATTGTGGTCAATGGCTTGATGTCCAAGTGGAGACCAGTGATGAGTGACATTCCTCAGGGCTTGGCATTGGGACTGGTGCTGTTTAATATCTTTGTTGGCAACATGGATGGTGGGATTGAGTCCACCCTCAGCAAGTTTGCCAACAACACCAAGCTGTGTGGAGCAGTAGATGCGCTGGAGGGAAGGAGTGTCATCCCAGAGGGACCTTGACAGGCTTGAGACGTGGGGCTGTGCGAACCTCATGAAGTTCAACAAGGCAAAGTGCAAGGTCCTACACTGGGGTCAGGGCAATCCCAAGTACAAATCCAGACTGGGCAGAGAATGGCTTGAGAGCAGCCCTGGGAGAAGGATTTGGGGGGGCTGGTGGAGGAGAAGGCCAACATGGGCCGGCAATGTGTGCTGTCAGCCCAGAACGCCACCCGCACCTGAGCTGCATCCCCAGCAGCATGGCCAGCAGGGCGAGGGGGGGAATTCTGGCGCTCTGCTCTGGGGAGACCCCCCTGCAGTGCTGCCTCCAGCTCGGGGGGTCCCAACAGCAGAAGGACACGGACCTGTTGAAGTGAGTCCAGACAAGGGCCACCAAGATGCTGGGAGGGCTGAAGCCCCTCTGCTGGGAGGACAGGTTGGGAGAGTTGGGGGGGTTCAGCCTGGAGAAGAGAAGGCTCTGGGGAGACCTCAGAGCCCCTTCCAGTCCTGAAAGGGGCTCCAGCAGAGCTGGGGAGGGACTCTGGATCAGGGAGGGGAACCATAGGATGAGGGGGAACGGTTTTAAACTGAAAGAGGGGAGATTTAGATTGAATATGGGGAAGAAATTGTTGCCTGTGAGGGTGGTGAGGCACTGGCGCAGGTTGCCCCGAGAAGCTGTGGCTGCCCCATCCCTGGAGGTGTTCAAGGCCAGGTTGGACGGGGCTTGGAGCAACCTGGGCTGGGGGGAGGTGTCCCTGCCCGTGGCAGGGGGGTTGAAACTTGATGATCTTTAAAGTCCCGTGTAAGTCTAACCATTCTATGATTAAAGCTGAAATCAGATTTTGAGTGGGTTCCCATTTCCAGTGTTCCTTATTACTTTGATTTCTGAAATAGCGTTATATGTGTGTTTGTGGGGGATGTAAATCTGAATTTGCCTTGGTTCCATCCAGTCTCAACTGCAATAGAAGAATCTTTACCAGTAATCCTAGTGTAGTAATCTCTATATTGAGTATTTTTGGTATGCCTAACATCTGTAGAACAATAGATTTGAGTCCCAGCTGGGATGAAGAGGTTCTTTGTATTATGAAGGGAATTCAGTAAGTGTCATGCAGTTTATAAGAGCCGGCCCTATAGACTCAGTAGAGTCCTTGTGGCATTTCTGTATTTGATTACTTTTTGTTGCAAAGGCGAGATGCAGTGCAGTCCCTGACATTGCAGAATTTGTTTCACTCCTCAGATTTCATATTAATATTTCTCATTTAGTGTCCCTGTGTTCTGGGGGAACAGCTAGCAAAGCATTTCACATTTTGGTAAGGTGACAGCTTTCCCTGCTGGCTTGCTGATACCTTAACATTTTATTCACATGAGCCAAAATACCTTGAAAACATTCCCAGTTTTAAAAATATGCATTCCTGGCATGTGGTACTCTGAGGGAGTCTGGAGATCAAGCCAGAATTCTCACATACAGGACAGGCAGTGTACAAAAATAATGACCTAGAAGAACCTGCAACAAAAAAGCCTGGGTCCTCAACAGCTTTTAAATTTTTCAGCGTTAAAGAAATATTCTCTTATTTTACACATCCACAGTTTGCATGCTTGTAAATGATATCAGGTTATTTTGAATAGAAAACGTTGTGTTCTGTCCACAGCAGTGCTATGACAGTATTCTCTAAGAGGCTCAAGAAGGGGTAATGATAGGGCCTTTACCTTCCCTAGCAGCATGTCTTTGGGAGGAGAAACATTATTTTGAAACTTAATTAGACAAATTAGGTTAATTGTCCACCAAAAGTGAATGATCTTTCCAGTTGTATGTATTCTAGGAATGCTGTATACCCTGATGATTAATTACATTAACTGAAATCACTTAGCCTTAGGGATCCTTTCGTAGTGACACAGATGAATGCTTCCAGTTTAATTTTGAGCACTGATTATAATTTGCCCTTTCAGCAGATGGTGATGTATAGGGTGTACTCATATTTCTGACCTATTTGAAGTACCTGTGAGGCTCTCCTTTAGTTCTGGGCCTAGGCTCCCATGTTTTTAGGGATAAATCATGCAGTTTGCCTTAATACTGGTGGCTTAGTTGGGTGCATCAGTTACACGATGAGCCTTCTTTAGCTGGAGAATATTAGAGACTTACCCTGTCATGGGCTAAGCAGCCATCAGATGTTCTTCAGTTTAACAGGGCAGCTTGTTCAAATAAGCATTGTCTTAGAGCTACTATATATGAAATACATTGAGATACAGTTACTGAAAATCCTTAGAACCCCAGGCAGCTTTGCTCCATCAATTCCTAATAAAGGTAGTGTTTGCCCAAACACAGTAAATACTGACAGCAGAGTTACAATGGTGACCTTATTTCTGATACGCCTCAACATAGCTACCTAAGTGTCATGTTGTACCTTTCCTGAAATTAGATGAATTGTAGAAGTTCATGTATTTCTTCCTAAACCAATTTTGACATTTTGTTTTCGGCTAGGTGTTCCAATTGCAAGAAAGTGATTGAAATTCAGTAAAGACATTCTGCAATGTCTAATTTAAAGTCTAAATGTTCACCACGGGGCCACAGATGCCCTTGTTGCAATGTTAATTACTTCTGTGGTTCAGGACATGCAGCATTTATTATTATTTTTTTTTTCCTCTTCTGCAGTGTGCCTTAGTCCCATGCTTCCAGCTTAAAGTCACATTGCAGTTGCGCATTGTCCCTCCCTTCTGTGCCAGCCATTAAAACTTAAGTCCAGTTCACTAGTTTTCTGTTGAATCTCAGAGGTGGGTAATCCAGTAATCCTTTCACAGAAGTTCATATGCTTAGTACCTATCTGGTTTTTGCTTACCTCTCTGTGCCAAGATAAATCTCTCCAATTTCAGCAGCCAG